GAACGTATAGATTTATTCTAGTTTAGTCTCAGCAGTTCCTCCAGGGGTGATTGAACTGTTCGATGTCCTTATTTGCCTATAGAAAAAACTAATTTCTAGAATTTCACCCCTGTATGTTGTAGACCAGGTTAATTAGAGTACTTCATAGTGTAGATGCCCGTAAAATGGTAGAGCGAGTGAGTCTTGATGTTGGTCTGAAGCTCCGAATGTTAAAAGCCGTTTGAGAAGGATTTGGTTCAAATTGTTACTTTTCGTTAAAAAGCATCGTTGAATCTTCATTTTTGTTGTAGGCGGCCAGTCATCCTAAGGAAATAAGTTATCTTGTCATATTCTCTTTATTTCATATTGTGTTTCAGGCTTTCCTTACAATTCAACTTTCAGGAAATTTATGGCGATTCCCCTTTCTTATCTTCCAACATGGTGGTGTTGCATTCTTCATACCATATTTGATAGCACTGATCATTGCTGCTTTGCCTATGTTCTTTATGGAAATAGTATTAGGGCAGTTCTCATCATTGGCGGCAATTTCAGTTTGGAACGTTGTTCCATTGTTTAAAGGTATGTGTATCATTGGTAAGCTTCCTTACAGATTTTTTAATTGTGCTGACAACTCTCACTAGGCGTTGGAGTAGCCATGGTCCTGATATCGGCTCTAGTTTCCGTATATTTGAATGTCGTCTCTGCTTGGTCTCTGTTTTACTTCATCAATTCAATAAGCTTCTCGTTACCATGGTCGAACTGTGCCAACTCATGGAGTGGATTGAGTAAGAAGTTTTTTTCATCATTGTTTTCCATTTTTGCACCGGTTTTGACAGTCTCACATATCATGAGTCATAAGTGAAAACGCGTATCGCAAGGTAAAGACAGGTTGCTTTAGCACTTGTCCTCCCTGGTTAATCGGCTTTTCATCGTTTAGATTGTTCAATGGGAACGCGAATTTCATGTACAGAAGCAAATGGCACTCTTCTTGTGAATGGTTCATGTATAATTCAAGTCAGTACAGTACTTTCTTCAATGTTTAACCATGGGGTTATGATTCTCGCAATCTCATACACACTGAGTATAAGAGTACAGTGCAAAAATTACAACAAAGCTAAGATCTCAGTAAGTGACAGTGATGTCAACAAAAAGAATAAGAGTTGGCTACATCTACATAGTGTTTACTTACAGAGATGTAACAAGAATCTTGTCTTTATAGGGTCGCAGACAAAGTGCTTGTCCCACCTCTGTCAGTCAAGCTTTGAATTATTGCCATATCATTGATTGATTATCATATTACAGAATCCCTTATGAGCTGCCATCCATTTTGCTTTACATTTATGAACTACTTGAATAATTGAAAAAGATACTCTTATCATGGAAGTTGCATACTGATACAGAAATAATTTTCATAACAAAAGTGGCATCTATGAAGTATGAACGCTC